TAATCGCGTACTCGATAGAACGAAAGTGACATGTGCGGTATTTCGATGACGATCGCATTTGTTCTCATCGTTTTCACCACAGATAGAATGATACCTTTTAACGCGATTAGCGTATATTCTCTATATATTTTATTAATTCGTTCAGGGATGAGAACGTAATGGTAGTAGTATTACTTTATAAACGCTGTATTCAGAAATAATAAATATTATTAAAATAATTGTTAATGTGTATATTTATACATTATCGAACGTAAACGCTCGGATATTCCATTAAATATATAGAGATATCTACATATTTTATGGAAATATCCATAAATATTTAAGATAAAATAATTTTATATGTTTGCAAGTTCACATACAATGGCAATTATTTTCAATAATATAACCTATTGCATTGTAAATTATTGAATAATTATAATAATAATAATAATAATAATAATAATAATAATAATAATAATGATAATAATAATGATGATAATAAAAAAAGAAGAAAAAAGAAAAAAGAAAAAAAAAAGAAGAGAAAGAGGAAAGAAATAATGGAAGGAAAAAGAATAAAATGTATATCGCATGTTATTCCATCGATACGGAGAATAATCGGGTATCTTAATTAAACCAAAAATGTATAAATATTTGTATCGAAATTAAATAAATATCTGTAGAATATTTTAATGATAATAAATAACGATAATAAATGTATTTCTCCGTATTGATTATAAACGTTTCTACGAGTAATATTAGAAATTGCAAAGAAACGTATTGACTAAACGTAAAAAATTTCTCGGTGTGATTTGTGTGGTTAAGAGAACACGTGTGTGTACAAACGCGTTCCAGGAAATAACCTGCAATGCCTTCGGAGGCATTAAATGATGAAAAGATGAAATGATGAAAAGAAAGATGAAAAGAACGTTCGGCCATCTTAAACGGCCCTTCTATATGCTCTCACGTCGCTGCTTTTGCGCTTTTCCTCGATCACGAAAAGCTGCTTCCGACCGCGAAATCGAAACTCGTACACGCTTACGCGAAAATGTGGTAGCAGAAATTAACGAGCACCTCTGATATCGACAGGATGTACGTAGGTAATACTTAAAAAGCAATTTACCTTCTTAAGTAAGATCGCAGACGATTTTTCATTTTTTATTTCTATTTTTTTTCTACTCCTCTAATTTATTGCACCAAATTTTCTTTCTCCTTTTTCGTTCTCCTTTTTTCTTTTGGTTTTGTTTCACTAAACACACATTTTTATTTCAAAATAAATTTATTAATCGCTTAAATTTCAACAAATATATTAGAACATATATATATATATATATATATTTATATTCTTTGATATATCAGATTTCAATAAATTCTATAGATATATTTATGACGCATGTTTATTTGAAAAGAAGAAAAAAAAAATATTAATCGATAGTTCGAATTTTTTGTATAATATATGAATCATCGTTCAATTACGTACTAAGAGTGCACTTAACATTCTTTTGATTCTTAGATCTTGATCCATCCGATTTTACGACATTATATTTTTTATCTCTGTTATTTCATTAAAGTCTAACACGTGACAGAAATTATCTAATCGTATTTTGAAATCAAAATTATCGAAAAAATATCGCAAAGTATCTTTTGAGAAAGAATTTCTCGTTTTTTTTTTTCGATAGATACATTAACAATGATCATGCGCATAAATACATAAATGGAATTACTTTTTTTGTTTAGTACTTGCATAGAAATAAATAAATAAATAAATAAATAAATAAAATATATATATATATATATATATATTTCACATCATAAACTGATTTTTCTTAATTCTCATTATTTTTCAAAATAATCAGACGTACTTTTGTTATTGAGACCCTCATATTAACGATAATATCTTTAACAATTTATGATTCAAATTAAATAATATGATATTTTAAGAAGAAAATAAAAAATTGACAAATATGTGATTGATTTTTTAATTGTATTGTAAAAACAACAAAAAACAAAAAGAAAAGAAAAGAAAATGAAAAAAGATATCAATCTTTAATGAACACTTTCACATCGAAAAGGTAAATTTTCGCTTTACATTGATCTCGTGTTACGATTTACTCGTAGAGGTAACATGTTTCACGTCTCATTGAACCCTTCACCATTGTTTCACGTTGCATGCAGTTTCGTTTCCATTTCTTTCGTGGTCTCTGCTCCGGGTTAAATATCGGAATAGAACCAGATAGAAAGAGAGATAACAGAGAATCCTCAGAACGATACTATTCGACGGCGTTGCGGTTTACCATGAGCATCCCATTTTCGATCATCTACCTTCGACAGAAAAGTTCAATTATCTCTAAAAGAACAAAAATTGACTGATACACGTAATTAATCTGAAATTGAATTAGAAAATCAATTCATATTATTTCAATTAATTACGTTCGATTTTATTAAATATTTATTCAAATATATGCAATTACAATTATTATTATTATTATTATTATTACTATTATTACTATTATTATTATTATTATTATTATCATTATTATTATTATTGTTTTTATTATTGTTACTGTTCCTTACTATTATTATTATTATTATTATTATTATTATTATTATTATTATTAAGGAGAGAGAAAGAGGGAAAATATTAGTATCTTTTGATTGTTATTATGGTAGCAGTATTAGATAAACAGTGTAACAGAGAAAGAGAAAGAGAAAGAGAGAGAGAGAGAGAGAGAGAGAAGGATCGTTTATCGGTGTTTTATTGAAATGCATTAAAGGTACATTCACGTGTGGTCTGTATATCGAGATTCGCGAGCGCGTTTACCGGACTTCGAAATGGATCATTAATCACAGAAACCATGGGCAGACGGTAATGGATGGTTATGGACCGATTTGGAGCTAGGCTCGATTGATCGGGAATACGTAATCATGATCAGGCTAATTCTTCTAGTAGCAACTACCTACCCACCTACCTACCTATCTTTCGAATCCCAGTATCGTGTTGCGCGTTCATCATTTTGAAAGTCCTTAAAACCGGATTTCAAATCTTGTAAATATAGAACATTCATTTATCTCTCTCTCTCACTCTCTCTCTCTCTCCCCCTCTCTCTCTCTCTCTCTTTCTCTCGCTGGATATATTTTAACGCTAATTCGAGACGATCGATGATCGATCGAAACGAAAAAAAAAAAAGAAAAAACAAATATTTATCGTGTTATGAAAATTCGATCGATGAAAAAAAAAAGAATAATGTCGATTACAAAAATATATTCTTTTAGAGAGGACAGATTATCAGTCGTTTAATAAACGAAGAGAACTGAAAAGTCGATGACTGTTCCAATTAAATTATTAAAAATTAACATGTCTCTCGATTTCGATCCGAAGTATTATTGTTTCGGACTTGAAGGGAGGAAGAGTGATTTCGATATATATATATATATATATATATATATATATATACTTATCTATTTTTTGAAAATGTGTATCCTAATATAATCAGAGATTCGTCGAATGAGAAATTCGTATTAGCCATAGTCAAACGAAATACTAGCGACACGTTCTCTTCCAATGGAAGGCGTAACCTCCAGGGAGGAGTGTGCCAAGCTGATGGTGGAAGCTTTAAAAAGAGCTTAATCGACTTAAGAACAAAACTACCACGTCGGGACGTCCCTTTTTCTTGGCAGTGAAGTCGGAGGACCGGTCAACCTTCGATAGTTCGTATACTCTGTTCTACGTGCTAGTATATACTACGTGTGTCGCCTAGAGAAACACGAAAAGACCTACTCGTAATCGAGTCTCCGTCCAATTAGGCCAACATAGCACCCTCGTGACCCTTTCTCCTTCCTCTATATTTATCTGTCTGTCTCTTTCTCTTCCTTCTTCTCTCTCTCTCTCTCTCTCTCTCTCTCTCTCTGTCCGTCTGATTCTCTCTTTCTCTCTCACTATGCTGCTGCCCCGAAGGCACTCGTCCTTTTATACTTTATTTTCTCTCCTCCTTGAATTCGCAAATGCTCTTGATGTCGGATTTTACGTTGATTTTACCACTATGAAAATTATCCACATTATCTAATCTTTCTTCGTCGTTCATCATTTCAAACGTTTCGAGATATGAATTTTCACGAATAACAATGATTATTATTCATATTTTAATATTATTCGTTTATCATCAAGCATACATTAGTCCGTCCATCTTTTATAATATAAAAGATTTCAAAAGATAGAGGATATTATTTTGTATCCGAAGGATGAACGAACAAGAAAGAAAGAAAAAAGAAAAAAAAAAGAAAAAAGAAAAGAAAAGAAAGGAAGAAGAAAAAGAAAAAAAAAAAAAAAAAGAATGAAAAAAACAGAATGAAAGAATAAACCAATTAAGGGAGACGAGATGGACAGACAATATCTCACGAACGATCACGAGAATCGTAACAATTTATGTCGACGAAACACTCTCTTCCATTGTACTGAGATGATTGTGGACGATGTCGGGACGCGTACTTAGGACGATTAAAAAATTATGGTAATTGTCTGTAGCGGCTGGAAGGCCGGAACGTAATATTTTATAGGACAATAAGTCTCTCGTGAAATTCCTTCCTACGAACTCGACATTTTCTAAAAGAGAGAGATAGAGAAAAAGAGAAATAGATAGAGAAAGGTAGAAGGAGAAAGAGACAGAAAGATAGAGAGAAAGAGAGAAAGAGGATAGATAGAGAAAATATGATAGAAAGTATGAGAAAGATAGTATGAGAAAGAGAGAGAGAGAGAGAGAAAACGTTTCCGACCGTTTGCGTATTATTACCTCGAGAATTTCTCTCAACGAGCACCAACGAATCGAGCTCATTTTTACCTTTAGTTTTACAACGCGCTAAGCTTCGACTCTTCCTCTCTCTCTCTCTCTCTCTCTCTCTGTCTGTCTGTCTGTCTGTCTCTCTCTTTTTCCTTCTTTTCAACCATCGCGATACTTTCAAAAGGGACATTTCGCGAACTACCAACGAAACGACGCGAGTTTAAGATGATGGTTATCGTCTTTTTCCAGTCGGTTGTCCTACGCTCTCATGAGAGGCCCTACTACCGTTGGAAAACATGAAGACCGATCGTCCGACGATGATTCTCAGCTTCTGCGTTCTCCTATTACTGCTAAGATCCGACGTCTGTTCCCTGATAATACGTAAGTGTTCATTTCTATCGATCTTTTAACAACGACGATAATTTCTTTCGTATAATCATGAATTATATATTGTTCGTTAGATAGAGAGAAAATGATTGTATGCGTATATGTATGTATGTGTGTGTGTGTGTGTGTGTATGTGTGTGTGTGTGTGTCTATGTACGCTCTTTAAATTAAAATTTTCAAAAGATTCAATTAGACAAATAATCGGTGAAATAAAAATTTATCAATATCTATCATATGATACTCTTTTAATCATCAAATCGTAATGATATTAATTATCACGATATTTATAATTAATTATTTTAAATGATAAACGAGTGAATGTAATAATTTTGAATTGTACACGGTCATTCATATCCATGGCTCGTAGAGAAACTGTAATAAAAAGTAACGAGCGATTTGGTTAGAAAGAAATGCGCCTTCCGATCATGAAAATCTCAACTGGGAACGAATAGAAATGGATAAAGAAAGAGAACGAAACGGCAATAAGGGGTTGGGCAAAAGTCGAAACGATATTTTTCTTTCGAGCAAATTTGCCGCTGTTGCAACTACGAAGAACTCATTCTCTCGGAAGGAAGGAAGATCTGAAGGTTTCTCTCCTTTCCTTTACTACTCCTTTTCCGTTTTTTCTCTTTTTTCTTTTACATTTTCTACCTTTCTCTTTTCTCAGCTTTCTCTTCTATTCTCCATTCCATTCTCTTTCTCTTTCTCTATCACCCTCTCCTCTTTTCTCCTCTTGGCAGTACCAGCCCGTCAAATTTTTCATCGAGACCAAGTGATCTCCGAGTTTTTATTTTCCTCAGGCCGGCTTCGCGATGGGGGTAGGGTGGGGGAGGGAGGAGAGGGAGGGAGGGAGGGAGGGAGGAGAGATTCCCATCAGTCCAGAAGTAATGACTCGCTATTCTCCAGCCGCCCGGGGGATCAATTATTTTGAATCTAATGCGACAGGATAAATTGCATCCCACGGAAGGCTCCTTAGCCTCCCTATCTACCCATCCACCCACTTACCCACCCACCCAACCAACCGACCAACCAACCCACACATTCACCCACTCACCTACCAACCCAATCTAACCCCATCGTCCTTGTTACTTTCCACCTTTTGCACCCACTCCAAGCCTCATCCAACCGTCCGCCAACTATTCCCATTCATCCTCTTTCCTCCCCTCTCAGTCGCTCGCTGCTAGCTACTCTTCCTTGCTTTATCTTGCCCTTTTCCTATTCCTTTCGAAACTCCCTCGTATTCCACGAGGATATGTCGGTAAACGAGGAAGACGATTTTGAGGTTAGGAACACGATTCTTTATCGAAAAGAAACCCCCCGCCATCCCTATACCGTTCCCTCGCCCACCAACCTTCCCACCAACATCTATATTCCACCCCGCCTATTTCGGGCCCCTTCAACCCCATCCACCGCCCGACGGCTGAACACGTTTAACTCAAACGAATGAACACGCGATCGAGTTAGATTCGACGTTTTTTTTCTTTTCCTTTCTTTTCTTTTCTTTTCTTTTCTTTTCTTCCTTTCTTTTTTTTTTTTTTTTTTTTTTTTTACCTTTAAACCCAATTTTCTCATGAACGCGCGAAAGAAAAATAGTAGTGGATATTTCGAGTGGACAGGTTCCATTTCATTTCTTTCCTTTTTTTTTTTTTTGTATTTTGTAGATTTTTCATTCTTCTTCTTCTTCTTCCTTACTTTTTTTCTTTCCTTTTTTTCTGTTTCTTTTTCCTTTTTTTATTCTTCACTCTTATCTTCCTTTTTTTGCTTTTTCTTTTATTTTCCTTCCTTACGAAGAGCAAGAGGACATTATTTTTTTTTTTTTTTTTTTTTTTTTTTTAAGTACAATCCGATCCAACGAGTGATATTTTCTTTGTGTGTGTGTGTGTGTGTGTGTGTTAAAACGTGATAATTTAGAAATATAAAAATAAAGAGGATCAACGTTAAATACGAAACGTCTATTTAAAAATCTTATTACTCATTAAATGCTTATTATAAAGAGCAAAATAAAGAGAGAGAGAGAGAGAGAGAGAGAGAAAAGAAATGGATTAAAGAATATGCATCGTTAGAAAAATAATGGAAAGTACTGCTATCTACTTACTATTAGTCTCAAAGGAGTAACTGTGTATGAGAGAAAGAAAGACAATGATAGAGAAAAAAAAGAGAGATAAAGAGAGAGAGAGAGTGAGAGAGAGAGAGAGAGAGAGAGTGAAAAAGAAAGAGAAAAAAGAAGTTTGAAAAACAAAACTAGGTGGTAAGCTGAACGCTGTCGCGTCATTCTCGTAACCTTTTGCATGCGCCAAGAGCTTTTCTAACTCTTAAACTTTCGTCTTCCTCGTTATAGTAAATGGTCTGTCTTTGTGGTTGAACAAACAGTTACACAAAGATAAACGAAGGCAACGGAGAGTACTCGAGCAGTCGTCTCGAGATGGTTTCAAGGACCTGGAATCCGCCGGCCCTTGTCCACTCTCCTTCGTCCCTTTTGCTCTTAAACTGAGTAGAGCTCGATGCTTCAGGCAGTTCCATCGCGATCCTCCGATCTCATCAACGTTCCATCCCTTGTGGAATCTCATTTGAAAAAAGTGAATAAAATATGATGGGTCTTTTGTTACTTAAAGCTTATTTTAACGTCCATGAATCGTATAACTCGTTAGATATTTCATAAAAAAAAAAATCAAATTTATCGAAGTTCGTTTGTGTTCGAGGATAAGAGAGGATGGGGGAAGGGAGACAGGGAGGTGATAGTGTGGTAAGGGTAAACATATTTGTCGCTGTCGATTTTGTTAGCGCTATTACTTTTTCTATCTTCACGCGACAAATCAATATTCCGTGTAGACAAAAGTTTCATATTTGGCCAATATCTTTTTCTAAATTTATAGTTGTATAATTTGAGAGGAGAAAAAAAAAAATATATATATATATATATATATAAGGTATGAAAAGAAATTATCCCAAAAATTTTGAAAAAAATAGTAATCGATTTTTAATATCACTCGACAACTTTTGACCCATCCTATAGTATATCGACGAGCGATGCAATACTTGAATTCTTTTCGTGATATATTTTTCTAATAAATTTTATAAACACATACACACACACACACACATACACACATACACATAAAAAGAGAGAGACAAAGACACACGAATACGCACGATAATAAAAAGAAAACTTCGATAATAATGTACGAAGAAGATCGTAAAGTATTGGCTAAAGTGAATTTGGTACATATCTTTTAGATCGTCTAATTCCTTCTAATAAAACGTCTATATCCTCGTTTATATAAATTCTTGAAAAGTACCATTATCTCACGAGGATATATTGAGATAGGTCACTTGGGTCTTACGTTAAAGAAGAACAATCGAAACTCTGAATGCTACTACATGTGAAATTCTCATTAAAGAGGAAAACTTGATTAGAAATCTGATAGATGGTGTATCTCCTTTCAAAGGCTTTTGATTCAATCTATATATATTTGTTCTATGTACATACATACATACATACATACATATATATATATATATCACATAATTATATTGTAATTCTAAACACTAATACACGATCGGGGTTCATTATTAAAATGATAATTTCATGATAAATCTAAGATTAATGTATAATATTCAAAATCTTGATAGTACATTTTTCGAGGTAAACCTTTTTATGACGCACCGTGTAATCATCGAATATTGCGCCCTCGTTTATATAGCTAAGAGGCAAGACGTCGTCGTGGCGATATCAAGCGAATAGCTTTTGCTACCCTGCATTATATACATATATACATACGCCGCACGCGATGTCGCGTCCGTATATTAGCGTATCAATGTCTAGCAGGATCGATCATAACGCAGGACTATCTTCCTTTCGCGATCGACGGTGGAAGGCGAACGATTAACTATCCACCACACCGGCAATCCTCTCCCGATAACATTTATCATTTTTTTTTATTCTTTTATTTCTTTGTTTTCTCTCTCTCTCAGTCTCTCTCTTTCTCTCTCTCTCTCTCTCACACACACATACACATACACTGCTTTTTTCTCTCTTTGTTTTTTAAAACAGGAAACGCCAGAGAATGAAAGAACATAAATATCCATTGTTGTTGAGAAAAGAGAGAAGAAGAGTCCAGGAAGGACGGCCGAAGTGAATGAGGAGTAGGAAGGGACTGAGGGAGAGAGAGTAGAAAAATGGAAGAAAAAAGGAAGTGGCACAAAACTTCAAATTGGATTCAAGTATCAACGAATTCTATCTCAGATCAAGGGATCTTTGATTCTTATCTCGCTAAAATCTCGCTAAGATATAATAATGATTATGCGCGCGCTGATCCATTGTCTTGTCAGTCAACCCCCCTTTGTTCTCTTTCTTTACCAGTTTCCCTTTCTCATCTTTTCATCCTCTTCAACCGCATCCTTCTTACTTTTCTTGCTTTCTCTCTCTCTTTCTCTCTCTCTCTCTCTCTCTCTCTCCCTCTCTCTCTGTCTCTCTCTTTCTATCTTTCTATTCCCATGGCCTGGAAAGAAGATTTATATACATACATACATACATACATAGACGTACATATATTTTATATATATACATATATATATTCTTCAAGTATGATAGAAGAGTGTAAAAGGAGAAACGAGCTTCGCGAGAGAAGACCGCTGAAAACCATCTTCCGGATAACCGTATTATCCGCTGGCATTGTCTACGGCCAGCCAATTCGAAGTAATGAGACACAGTCGGTTGCGGAGAACAATCGACCTTCCTAGCGTGGCAGAAGCCGCGACGTGCCTTCCTACCTTCTACCCTAGACTCCAACCAACCAACCAACCAACCAACCAACCCACCCCCCTATCTCCCACCCAACCCATACCAACCTCATCGTCTCATCTTCTCTCTGTTCGCGCCAACTTTCTCTCTCTCTCTCTCTCTTTCTCTCTTTCTCTCTTTCTCTCTTTTTCTTTCTCCTCCTCTTCCTTCTTCTTCTTCTGTTCTTCCTTTTCATCCCTTATCCCTATCTTAT